CAATTTTAAATCGTTGAATATATATTTTTTTTTTATTTATCTTTAATAAAAATTATTTTCAATTTTTCTACTATATCCACACACACAAAAAATGTCTGTGATATAATTTGTTAAAAATTTTCTAATATAATACAAGAAATTATTTTATATAATATTATAAAATTATTATTTATATTACTCTATTATTATTATTATTATTATTATTATTATTATAAATTAAAATAATATTAATTGAATTAAATTAATTAAATTGTATTAGTGTATTTTCTTTTATATATTTATAATATTTATATTTATATTTAAATTTGTATTATTTATTACATATATATATATCAAATAACAAAAATTTTTTTTATAAAAAAATAATTAATTAAAAATTAATATAAATAAATAAAAATTAATATAAATTAATTAAAATAGAAATGTAATTTCATTAAATATGAATTGTTTTAAATTGACAATGGGTATAAAGGGCTATGAATATTTTTATACTATATATATATATACAGTATATATATATATAGTATATATATACTAATACACACCTATAATATCCTTTTTTTTTTTATGCAATGCATTAATAAACGTAAAACATAATAAGACACTTACACTCCTACATATTAAAACACACATTAAAAATTAATATTGAATGAACAACACACGTATATATATATATACATACATACATAAATAATACACGATGATTACAATACATACACATATTATAAACTTACACGTATAGGTACATTAATTAGTTAATTTAGGTAGGGATTAGAAAATTATTTATTATCGCTAGTAAAAAAAAAAAAAAAATTAAAAAAAAAAAAAGCCTCGGTCGAGGAGTAATTTTAATTGTCATACGTAATTTCATTAGATTAGTATTATTATTATTATTATATATTTACTTATATATATTATATATTATATATACATATATATCACGTTTATACACTTGTCAAATTAACGATTGATAATCGACGAGATTATTTATTTATTTAAATAAATGCATGTTTTATGGTTTTTTTTTTGCAAATCGTATCAATGGGAATTTATGGTTTATTTGTTTTTTTTTTTTATAAATCAAATTTATTTTATTCCACGTTCAATAATTTTTGTTTGTTTTATTTTTCTTTTCTTTTTTATTCAATTAATTCGTAAATCCTATTAAATGTTTACAAAAGTTAGATCAAATTAATACTTGACTCAAGTAGTTGTTATTAATTTGTTATACGTTTATTAAATACTTTATTTTATTATTATTATTTTCCTTTTTTTTTTTTTTGACGAACAAATAATATTTTTATTTTTATTTAATTATATATTTGTTTAATTTTCTTTAACGTTGATTATATTCCAAGCAAATTTTGGTCAAAAAATCAAAACAACAATTGAAGACAATCAAATCAAAATTATATTAAATATTTAATAATTCAATTTAAATGAAAAAAAAAATATATAATTATTCTTCTTATTATTATTAATATTAATAAATAAAAATAAACAAAAAAGAAATGATCAAACATATTTCAATCAGTAATTTGTCAAAGTGTGTATACGTAGATTAAATAAATCACTTGATATAATTGTTGTAGTTTAGTTACGTATACGTAAACCAACAAAAACATAAAAAAAAAAACAATTAGAGCATACGATTGATTAAAAATTGATAAACATTATATTATTTATAATTAAATTAATCATAATAATCATATTGATTATGATAATATAATGTTTATCGATTTCATTCAATCATATACTCGATATGGTTATTTCGTTTGGAGGTTAGGATCAAGTCGAAACGCCATATTTGATTCTAATCTCGTTACGAAAGTAACCATAAGGAACGAATTTGTCACGTGGTAACCTATTATTTACATATTTCCTTACGTCATGCATGCAATAAATATGTAATATATATATATATATACTAATTAAAATATTATATTATATATTGTGATATATATTGGTTTGGCAAGTAATTGAGGATTTTGTCGATAGGTGGGGCCTTTTTGAAATCACCAATTACTTAATTGCCAAACTAATAATATTATTAAAATATTATTAATTAATATTATATTATATTACATTAATATAATATTAATTAATAATAATCTAATATATATAATTAATATAATATATATATATATATATATTACATATTTATCTATATATATATATACGATAGTAATCTTAAAAAATACGCGCAGTTTTCGAGCAGATTTGAATTTTTGCCAAATAGGAAGTAGACAGTAAAAACCTTTTTGTTGAGTAACTTTAATTAATTACTTAATTACTTACTTATAATCCTTAATTTCCTTTAATTAACAAAACAAAACAAAAAAAAAAAGTAAAAACTACCCTGATTTATCCTGTAGAAAAAAGAATAAATAATCCTTTGCTCCTAGTTCATTCTAGTTGATCCTAGTTCCCTCCTAATTTCTCTCCCAGTTTCCCCTCCTAGTTCTCCGTCCTTATTTAAAAAGACCTTTTTCAAAACGTTTTGTTTTTTTGTTTGTATCACTGTAATATGTGTGATGTTCGGGTGTATTGCAGTTATGTGACGATGGGCATAGATCTAGGCAACCTTGCCGCTCTCAGGACATTTCGAGTCCTCCGAGCCTTGAAGACTGTCGCTATTGTACCAGGTATGCTTAGAGGATAGAAATATTTGGGTGTAGATTTTGTGCAGATTTTTTAGATGAATTTTTTCCTAGACACTCTCTCTCTCTCTTTATCTCTATCTCTATCTCTATCTCTCTATCTCTCTCTCTCTCTCTCGTCACAATTTTATTTGTTCTTTTATTCGCTTCTTTATTTGATTTGTTCTTTTATTTTCATTTTTTTCTATTTTTTTCGTTTGTTAATTCAATGTTTTATCTTTTACCAATTTTTCTAATTTTAAATCATCACATTTTATTTATTATATTATATTATATTATAATATAACAAAATATTATTTTATAATAATATTATTTAATAATCGTTTGAGTGTGGGGTTGAATTTTTGTATGCATATGCTAAAATTGCGGAATAATATGCGTAAGTTATTTATTTATTTATTTTTTTGTTTTTTCGTAAAATAATACAAATGATTATAATTAATTCGAATGATTATAAAAGTAATTTTTACTAACAAAAAATGTTTTTTTTTTATTCTCACTTATTTACATGAGTGTTTTGCTGATACACAAACTCCACGAAAATGTTTCTCCGCATTTTTGGCATAGGACGACTTTGCTTGCCACACTCAAACGGTTAATAATTAATAATAAAATATAAATTAATTATTAATAATATTTTGTTTATTATAATATAACATGATTTTTTATTTAATATAAATTCGTTCTTTCGTTTGTTCGTTTGTTCGTTTATTTGTTTGTTTGTTTTTTTATATTATTTTCACAATCACCAATCATATCTCGTTTTTCACTTACACACACAGAAATATTTCAAAAAAAAAAAAAAAAACTACCCTAATATCCTTTCAATTATTCATCAACAAAATATGTTATTTATTATTTCTTCTTTGTATAATATTCTGTTGATTTTTTTAAATTTACAATTCATTTGTTTATTTCTTCCATCATTAATTTTTTATTTATTATTATTATTATTTTTTGTTTTTGTTTAACTCAAAAGACAATTAATCGTCTTTCTCTTTTTCTATACATGCACATATTTATATGTATACGTATATGCACATTTTCACATTTTTCTTATCAATCAGTCATATCATCAACACAACCACAACTACCACCACCACCACCACTATCATCATTCTAATCATCATAATCATCATAATTATTCATCATTCTCAAAAAAAAAAGAAAAGAAATGAGACAATAAAAAAGATGTGAACACAAAACACACACTCACACACACGCATAATTTTCCACATGGAATTTGAGATTTGTGAACCTTCGTGATTTAAAAAAAATAAAAAATACAAGAAATGAACTACCCTCTTACTAACCTTATGTTTTTTTTTTATATATATATATATATATAAATAAACAATATATTGTTTATAATTATTGAAACACTGTCGTTCCTTTTTTTTTTTTGTTTGTTTGATTATCGTTGAACAGGTCTGAAAACCATTGTCGGCGCTGTGATAGAATCCGTGAAGAATCTCCGCGATGTGATAATCCTGACGATGTTCTCCCTGTCCGTTTTTGCACTGATGGGACTTCAAATTTATATGGGGGTCTTAACACAAAAGTGTATCAAAAATTTCCCAATGAACAGCTCATGGGGTAATCTCACCGACGAAAATTGGGAGAGATTTGCTAGCAATGAAAGTACGTATATTGAATTTTTAATTAATACATTACATATTATCTAATTTTCTATTTTCATTTTTCTTGTTTGTTTTTTTTTTGGGGGGGGGGAATTTTTTGGGGGTTTTCTTTCTTCTACTTTTACAGTTGTTTTGAATTTTTATTTTTTTTTTTATTGATAATAGGTTGTAAAACAACGTAGAAAATCAATGACAATCCTTCCTCCTACTTTTGCCACCCACTTCCTCCCTCTTTTGTAGGTTATGTCATTTTATTTTTCAATTTCTTTTTTGATTGTTTTTTTTTTCTTATTTTTTTTTTTTTTTTATCGATAAAAGGTTGTTAAACAACGTAGAAAATCAATGACAATCCTTCCTCCTACTTTTGCCACCCACTTCCTTCCTCTTTTGTAGGTTATGTCATTTTATTTTTCAATGTTCTATCTTTGTTCAGCTAATTGGTACGTAGACGAGGCTGGAAATATGCCATTGTGCGGGAATTCGTCGGGAGCTGGGTAAGTTTGTCTCTCCTTCTTTTTTTTATGGGTTTCTTTTATTATTTTATTTGTCATAAATTAATAAATAAAAATGGAAAGTAGTTAAGAATATATTTCGTTAATTTAGTTCTATCCTAGTAATACCAGTTATAATTATTAATCAGTTAACTGTGCTGCGCCATTTTGAAAGTGATCACCGCTGTGTGTCGCTGCAATCGACCGATTATCCCAAGTTTTCAGGTTAAAATTGCTCATTTTTAGAATAAAATCAACTTAAACTTGAATTTATTCTTATCAATCTTAACATTTGAAATTATCCTTTGTTTTTTTTTCTTTACAATAATTACAATTTAAATAACAAATGGTCGTTGCTTTTTACGCATGACGAGTATACAAGTGAAATTCAGTTAACTGGTTAACTGTAAATTGAACAACAACGAACGAACATCAGTTTATTTTGTTTTCTTTTTCTTCTATATATATATTTAATGAAAAATCTGATTGGATGATAATAAATGGAGTTAATTCGAGTACAGGCAGTGCCTTCCTGGCTACACGTGCTTACAAGGATACGGCGACAACCCAAACTATGGTTACACGAGCTTCGACAGCTTCGGCTGGGCTCTACTTTCTGCGTTTCGTCTAATGACCCAAGACTATTGGGAAAATCTTTATCAACTGGTACTACGATCGGCCGGACCGTGGCACATGCTCTTCTTCATTGTCATCATCTTCCTCGGTTCTTTCTATCTCGTCAACTTGATCCTCGCTATCGTAGCGATGTCATACGACGAGTTGCAAAAGAAGGCGGAAGAGGAGGAGGCTGCCGAAGAGGAAGCAATAAGGGTATGCGAATAAGGGACTAGTATAATATTGGATTTTGTCAATTTTGGGAAAGCCATTTTCATATTTCTTTCTTTTTTTTTTTTTATTATTTTATTTGTAAATTAATTGAAACCCCCCACCTAACCTTTTTGTCAAACTCTTTTTTTTTAAATTAATACTATGACGTCCAGTGGCACCACGTTGATGCCATGCGAGAACTTTTGAGGAAGTGCTAATGGCTTCACGTTGATACCACTCGGAAATTATAGCATAGTGTTAATGTACTTTACTTTTTTCTTTTTGTTATATAAATAATAAATATTTTACCAAGCTAACGTTAAAAGTTAATAATATTTTAATAATTAAAGTTAATTGGTTTTTCTTTTTTTTTTTTTTTTGAATAATTATTAATGCAAATATATAATAAATTAATTGCTCTATCTATTATGCAATTTAATTGTAATTGTATTTACATTTAATTGTTTATATTTTTTGGTTGGTCTTTCCTATTATTAACAAAACCCTCTATACGGTCCATTAGACCCGTCTAAAGTCATACGTAATTGTTCCAAGACTTTCCCTTTCAGTTTTTTTTTTTTTTTTTTTAATAATCTTTACTTTAATTAGGTTTATTTTTCATTTCATTCTACATTAGAAATTTGGAATTTGATTTTTTTCAATTAAAATTGGGAACAAAGTTTTGGGACATTTAACACACGTCTAACCCGTCCAATAAATTGATCATTTTATTTCTATTTTTCTATTATTTATAATATTGTTTAAATAATTAATATCTAATGTCACGTTTATTTTTTTTTTCTTTGGTTACAATTATACAGGGTGTATTTATACAATGTTATTAGAATTTTTTCAAGATAATTTGATTAACATGAAATTTAGTAAATAAAGTTTGTCACTTGTTAAACTTTTTCGAAAGGATTCATTTGCAATTAATTAATTAATTTAATTATCCAATGTAGTTTTTTTTAATGGGACTCAATGAGACTCAATGAAACTTCATTTTGTTGATTTATAACATAAGATATGTCTTTTGTTATTGAAATCAACAAAATGCAACAAATGTTATTGTACAATCTTTGAGTTCCATTTGAAAAACTAAACTAATTATAGTATTACTAACTTTCGAATAATTTAACACGTATTACAAACTTTCATAATTATTACACAAAATTTCCCCTGTATATAAAATCGTTCTTTATAATTTCAGTAAAAAAATGTTAAATACAAAAAAAAAAAAATAACATTATTCTTTTAAGTTGAACAAACGTCATTTTATTGGACGGACGTGTACAAATTCAACTCGTGTTGACTTGACGACGGGTCTAAAATCGCAAAGAAAAAAAATTAATAAAAAAATAAAAAATAGAAAGAATTTTCTAGTAGAAAAATTAGAAATAACAAAAAAAAAATTGCAAAATTTACCGTATAAAAAAAAAACAATTAAGAAGATGAAAAATACAAAATCAAATCTTATATCAATCTTCAAATCATATCAAATCCTTCGATGTTGAAGTTGATTGGTCGCGTTTGTATGAAATACAAAAAAAAAAACTAGGATTTGACGAATATAATCGTCCATATACAAAAAAAAAAGGGGGATACAATTTGATTTGATTCCTGACAGGAAGTGGAAAAAGCATTGATGGTGAAAGAAAATAAATTAGCGCAACAAGCAGCGGCAAGGGAAGCAGCAGCAGCAGCGGCAGCAGCTGCGGCTGATCAAATTGTCAAATCACCTTCAGACTTCTCGTGTCATAGTTATGAACTGTTCGTTGGCCAAGAAAAGGGTAACGACGATAACAACAAGGAGAAGATCAGCATAAGATCTATCGAATCTGTTAGCGAACATAGGATCAAGCAGATCAACAACAACCATAATGCTGCCAGTAAAGTGCGGAAAGTCAGTGCCGTAAGTTTCATTTGTTTCTACAAAATTAATTTTTATTCTCCCTTATTCCTACCACCACCACAACCACCCACACTGCTATTATCACCAGCAACTGGTCAAATTCTTCGGATTGTTTTTTTTTTTTTTTTTAATAAATTAATTTACTGTTTACATTTGATTTTGTTTCTGAACACGTTGAACGCCAAGTTAGTTAACGATGATAACTGACACGTTTAATTCACCTTTAAGCCACGTTTAGGCCGCGTCAGGCGCTGGTGTCGTCGCTTTTATTTAATTTACATTTAGGCCGCACCAAGGCGCTGCTGACTGACGGGGATTTCCCGAAAAATTCGCGTGGCGTTCGAACGTGTTAATCTCGACTCGTATACCATTTTTTAGATTACTAATTTGAATTTTGTTTATCTAAATCACTTACTTCCTCTCTATTACTCAATTATTATTATTATTATTATTATTGTTATTATTATTAATAATTGGCATTAAGAACTTAAAAGTTCATTGCCACAATTACCAAATGTAACCCTGTCAGTGTTTTCAAATAGTTCCAGGTATTGGGCCCATTCTGATATTTACTTTAATAACAATTTAGATATTAAATAATTATTAAATAATAATAATAATAATAATAATAATGATGACAGGAGAGGGAGGAAAATATTTATAAAAGAAAATTTTCAATATGAAACGAAACGAGTCGAGAAAATATAAATTAATATAAAAAACTTTGACAATTGACAATTGTTTAAACTATCATCCCCTTTGTGATATTTTTAGTAGTACAATTATTAAGCATGCTTCGTATATGAATAACCATAATTGTTTACATTTTATTTATTAACTCGTTTATCGTTATTATTTTTCTCAAAAAGTCGAACCCCCCTCTCTCCGAAATCATCGCATCGTAAAATATCGTAGAAAAAAAAATCTCCCTTTTAACCCTTTCGTTGAATGCTTTAACTCAAGTATCAATCGTCGCATAGTGTAAGGACCCAATCACGTATTAATTTAAGGGTCTATTGGTAACGAGAGGGTTAATCAAATAATTTGAAACATTCGTAGGGGAAAAATATATAATTAATCGTACTCGTTCAATTGATACATAAATATTTATATGTATTTATTTTCCTCATATATATATATGTGTGTACGTGTGTACCTATATCAATTTTATTTTTCATATTATTATTATTATTATAATAGTTGTGTGTGTTCTCTATCTCTCTGTCTGTCTCTCTCTCTCTCTCTCTCTTTCTATCAGACTTTGGATTCATTTTTCAATGTTGTATTATGATGTATGCTTATATCTCTGCAAGTATATGTTTATATTATCATCAAAACTTGTGTGTGTGTGTTACTCTCAGTGTGTGTGTGTGTGTGTGTGTATTATTAAATATATAATATACATTTGATATTATATATATATTTGAATATATATATATATACATAGATATAGATATATAGATTATACGTATTTATCGAGTGCCTCGTTGGTGTACACAATTAGAAGAGGTTACGAGCCCTTTTGGTAGGAGATATCTTTTCTTGTTTTTTTCTGAAGGTCTCTCGCGCCGCTAATGGCCAGTTTACTTATGTCTACCAGGAAAGTCTCCGGAAGGTACGTGTTATCACACGACATGTGTCTCTCTCTCTATCTCTCTATCTCTCTATCTTTATTTCTCTATCTCTCTTATCTATCTCTCTTTCATCATTTTCGAAAAAAACGTACGTACAAACATCAACATTGTACAAATCAATGAAAGTATATAAATGCAAATTACAATACTTCCAATTTTTTTTTTTATGAGAAATACATAACATTTTTTTTTTTTTTAAATTATGTACTAGTGTAAAATAATATTTTATTATGTTATAAAAGTTAATAAGATTTACAGTAGTACTTTTTTTTATTTTTTTTTTTGTTTTAATGATATTTTTTGTGATTTTTTTTCAATTAATTATATAATTGTATTGGGATCTCTAGCACTTGAATACGCTATCTGGTGGCTAAATTCAAAATGAGAGTAGATAGGTGTCGAATTGCTACGCCACTCCCCTGCCACAGATCCCAATATTGTTTATCTTTTTTTTTTTTTGTTGTTGATAGATAAAATTTTTTTTAAAGATTCGTTAAAATTGTTCTAATAAATATTTACGTTTTTATTTGAACAATAATAACACAAATTGATGAGAATTATATATCTTATCATTATAGTATTTTTATAAATTAATAATATTTATAATATATTAAATTAAATAATATAATTTTTATTATTATTATTATATATTATTTAATTTAATATATTATAATTATTATTAATTTAAATTATTAATTTAAAAAGGTACTAACGAATTAACGCAACCGTAGCAAAATTCCGCTAATGCGCCAATCTACACTTTAAATTGTTGCAACAAATCATAGAATAAAAAAACTTTATTTAAAACAATCAAAACACTTTTAAAATTAGAAACATTTTATTTGCGCAACCCTGACGCAACCCTGACGGTTACTGTGTACAAACAACAAGGTTATTGTGTGCGAACAACAAAAAATTGCTTTTTATTAGCGCATTAGCTGAATTTTTGCTGCGATGGCGTTAATACTTAAGTACCATTAAAAATTATAATAATTTTATATTATTATAATATATAACTTTAATATTATCATTATTATAAATAAATTATTATATAAATTATTATATTATATTAATAATAATATTATTATTATTATGATCATTAATCCCAATTTATCTAATCAACATATTCTCGCAAAATATAATTAATAAATATATTTATTTTATCATATCTTTCATCTAAATCAAATTAAATATTTATTTATATTAAAAAAAAAATTATTTAAAAAAAAATAAATAAATAAACAAACTAACAAATAAAAGGGAGGAAGAACGAGTGAAACGAATGCACTTCGGGGAGGGGGAGGGGGTAAATATAATATCTACATATTCCCATATGTTATTACAATGAAATAATTTCGTATCCATGGTGTCGAGTGGTTTGTAATAAAATAAAAACAATAAATAAATAAATAAATAAATAAATAAATAAATGAATTAAGGAATGAGACTGGTTAGAATGGTTTGTCCAAGATTATTTACAACATTATTATTATTATTATTATTATTGTTAAACGACACCTATATAAATCAATGGTCACCTGTTTTATATATTTTTATATATATATATTTCTTTTTTTAATTTCCAACAAAATATTTCACAATTCTACTCTCTCTCTCTCTCTCTTTCTCTCTCCCCCCTCTCTTTTTCTCTTTCTCTCTCTTTTTAGGTGTTTTATATTCTAAATATTGATCCCAATAACTCAATGGTGGATCAAATGATTAACTTTTTAAGAATATTTTTTTCTTCTTCATAAAACTTTCATTAAAATTATTTATAATTTTTTTTTCTGCAATAAATTATATTCATATTTGTTTGATAAAGTTCAATCATTTATTTAAATATAAATATTGTTAGTTTTTTGTTTGTTTTTTTTTCTTAGGACTGTGTCCCTGTTATTTCTAACCTAAACAGCATTAAAAGAGGTTATGTTGTTAATTGTGAAAACAATTTTTGTTTTATTTTTAACCAAAAGTAAGTTGCCCCTAAACCTCAATCTCGAATTTTACACTTTATCTGAGGGCTTAGGACAAAATTATAATCTTAATTATTTCATTTGATTGAAATAACTTTAATATGTATACTTAAGCGCCATTTTGAAAAGAAACACCGCTGTGTGTCGCTGCAATCGACCGATGACCCCAAGTTTTCAGGTTTAAATTGCTCATTTTTAGAATAAAATCAACTTGAAGTTGAATTTATTCTTACAATTTGAAATGTTGTTTTGTTTTGTTTTTTTACAATAATTACAATTTAGGTAGCTTAAAAAATTATTTGATTTGATCCGCCATTGAAATAAACCCTGAATAGAAAACAACACAACCCTTGAAACATATAACACTCAGAGACAGACACATATGCACATGCACACGTACAATTAAATATAACATAGAAAAAAAAGGTGTGTCCAATGTAATAGAAAAAAAAAACAAAAAACAAAAAAAAACTAAGAGAGAAAGAAAAAGAGAAAAAACAAAACAAAACCAAAAAAAAAAAATAAAAAATAAGAGAAAGAAAGAGAGAAAGAAATAGAGAAAGAGAAAAGCGGTGTTCCGCTTTTGTTTGTAATTACAGGCGAGCCTTAGCCTACCTGGTTCACCTTTCAACCTTCGAAGAAGTAGTCGTGGAAGTCATCAATTTACGATACGCAATGGTCGTGGTAGATTCGTTGGTCCACCAGGTGGTGACAGAAAACCCCTCGTATTATCGACCTATTTGGATGCCCAAGAACATTTGCCTTACGCTGACGATTCTAATGCAGTCACCCCAATGTCTGAAGAAAATGGCACGATTGTTGTACCAGTTTATTATGCGAATCTTGGCTCAAGGCATTCATCATACACCTCACATGCATCAAGGTTATCTTATACTTCTCATGGTGATCTACTTGGTGGTATTGCAAATTCCATTGGCAAACCAATGACAAAGGAAAGTCGACTGAGAAGTAGATCGGTTAGGCCACCATCTGTTAATGGTCATCTTACTGATTGTAATCAAAAGTTTCACTGTGTAAGTTATTATTATTATTATTATTATGGTTGTATTTTGTATTTGTTGAGGTTATGGTCAAACTTCTTAGGTTTGCGTGAGTTATTTTTATTTGTGATAATATAATACTATATTATATAATATTTTATTTAAATATTAGTATTGTTATTATTATTATGGTTGTACTTTGTATTAGTTTAAGTTATTGTCAAACAAACCCCTTTGGATTTGTCTGAATTATTTTTATTTTAGAAAATAATATAATATTATATTTTATAATATTATTTATAATATTATTATTATTATATTTAGGAAAGTGATTTGGAAAGTGATCCCATGGGTAAAGCTAAACAACAAGATAATCCTTTCATCGAACCATCCCAACAACACGCCGTCGTAGATATGAAGGGTAAGATCAAATACCAATCTAACATTTCTATAAAAAAAAAAAAAAAAATAAAACTAGAAAAAAGATTAAAATACAATCTAATGTAAACTAAAAAAGAACCACAACCCCCCAAAAAAAAAATCAGAAAAAAAGAATCCTATTTAACACGTGCCAACACTTCAAATGCAAATGGCAAATGTGTTCATTGACAAATGTCATTGTAAATGTTGAGAGATTTCTCATTCAATCATATTCATTTGTCACAAAATGCATTTTTTCATTCAATCATCACATTCATTTGTCTAAATGCAATTCTCATTTTGTTTTATTTTAAAATTTGAACGATGTCAGAAAAAAGAAACAAAATATTTTGACACACAGAGACCACATGTATTTGTTTTGTTTTTGTTTTCTTTTTTCATCTGGTTTTTTAATATCAGTGTGTGATAAATTCACCAGCAATAATCACCGTGTGACGTATTTAGGCCCTTTTAGGTACACTCTTTTTTGTTTGTTTTCCTTTCACAGATGTGATGGTGCTGAACGATATTATCGAGCAAGCAGCAGGACGTCAAAGCAGAACACCTGAGCAAGGAGGTAATCATACGTGCGATCGAATCATTCAACCAAGATGTGTATTCTTCTTTTCTTTTTTTTTTTTTTTGTAATCTTCTCTTTTCACAACCCCATCTATCTATCTATCTATCTATCTATCTATCTATCTATCTATCTAGTTATCTATCTCCTTCTATGATTATCTGTCACCCTTGTCGCAATTGTGCATATATTTTTTCTTTGTCTATCGTGCGATGCATAATCCAGTCGTTCGATGTATTATATTCGTCCTACTATTTACTATTTACTATTTACTATTTAATTATTACTATCAATCAAGGTTATACCTTCTGATTATTATTTTTTTTTTTATTATTTTTATTAGGCATACACACCTTGTACACATGGTACATAATTGATTATATTATTTATATGTTTTTAGGGTATGTGTTAAACGTGTTTATTTGGCTTAACGTGTATCTATCTATCTATCTATCTATCTATCTATCTATCTATCTATCTATCTATCTATCTATCTATTTTTTTTTAATAATTTATTTCTATATATATAATATTTTGTTTGTCAATTATATTTTGATTAGGTTGTTCACAAATGTTTCTTTCTATTTATTATTTATTTATTTATTTTCTTCTTAATTAATTTTATAACGCGTAATATTTTTTATTTTACCGATAATATATTATAATATATTTATAAATTATTTTTTTATTAATCGGAGTATAAAGAAAAACAAAACAAAAAAGAAAATAAAGGGCTGATAGAATATTATCAAGAAATTGTACATTTTTTTTTTCATTATCTTCTTGAATCATTGAATCGCGATGAAAAAAAAAAATAAATAAAACTAAATAAAATTGAATTAACATAGGAGGAGAAAATATGTGATGAAATGTTATTTGTACTTTTGGGGAAATAGAGTTTGTTATCGAGATCTCACAGTTGGTATTTTATCAACACGCAGGCAGGGATTTTAGCGATTTATCTCGTTGCAGCTGCACGAAATATTTCAAGCTTTCGTATTACATACATACAATAGTATATAGATACATATATATACATACATAGGGTGGCTTATTAAAATTATATACTTTATATATATATATATATATTTTTATTAAAAAGTCATTTGAGACATGCCAACCCTTTGCTGCTTTTTATTCGTCGCGAATTCAAATTCAATTGCAGCAGCTGCAGTTAGCACCACCCACCACCAATCAACTCACCAACCACCACTAAGCAGCAGCTACTGCATTTTTTGCATTTGCACACAATTATTTCATAATTAATTAAATAGAAAATTCGTTTGCGAATTGATACGAAATTTTTTTTTTTTTTTGGTTTGTTTTTTTTTGTGCGGGTAAAATAACAAAACTAGTCAACGTTCTAATTCGATTATTTGTTGTTGTTGTTGTTGTTGTTTATTTTGTTGATTTATTTTATTTTGTTTTCATTTTCTTTTTTTTTTAAATTGTGTCATCCCCACGCACGCTAAATTTTGTATCATCCAAAACTATTGCAATTGTTTTTTTCAAAAAAAAAATTCAATTTATTGAATGTTGCATTTTATTCGTGTAAGAAATGAAAAAGTTTGATTAAAAACCACGAATGAAAATTATCTTCCTTATGTTTTATTATTTAACTCGGTACAATTTCAATGTATCTGATAATCAAAATAATAATTTTGAAAATAATTAAAATAAATCTAAATAAAAATAATTAAATAATTTCAAAATAAAATAAACAACGAAGATAATTTTGTCAAAGTGTGTGTGTGTGTGTGACAGACAGCATGCAAATATTAACGAATATTATTTCTATTCGATATATCGAATTTTTAACAAAATACACTTTCTACATTGCTTAAAATCATTTTATTGTTTCCACGCTGCAATATTTTTGTTAACTTTCCCCATTGATCGTTTGTTTTCATCCCAGCTTGTTTGCTTGATTGCTTGATTTGCTTGTACACCTGCCCATGTCAAATTTTGTCAAAAAAAAAAAATTAAAGTTGCTTGTAAAAATTATTAATAATAATCAAATGAAAACTAATCGAAATAATCCTTAAATTAAAATATTTTCGTGTTAACTTTCCATTGTGTAATCATTTTGTTCGTTCATCCAGCTTGTTTGCTTGATACTGCTTGTTCACCTGCCCGTGTCAAACGTGTCAAATTTTGTCAAGAAAAAAAAATGAAAAAAAAACAAAAAAATAAATTAAAGATGCTTGAACAATTACTTACAATAATAATCCTTAAATAAAGATGATCAAAGAATAATTAAAAAAAAAAAAAAATAAAAAACCTCTTTCCCCAAAAAGAGTGGTACCAGACAAAATGACTAACGCGCGTTACAGTTTCGACCTATTACTTTCCGACAGACGACGATGAGGAAGGGCCCACGTTAAAGGAGAAAATATTGGCCGGGATCATACGTTGCATCGATATCTTCTGCGTTTGGGATTGCTGTAATTTATGGCTCGAGATACAAAAGTACGTCGCCCTTCTGGTATTCGATCCATTCGTAGAACTCTTCATAACACTTTGCATCGTCGTCAATACACTTTTCATGGCATTGGATCATCACGATATGGACAAGGATATGGAAAGAGTTCTTAAATCTGGTAACTATGTAAGTACAAACATAATTCTATTAATAATAATAATAATAATAATAATAATAATAATAATAATATCATCATTGTTTATCAATCATCAGTCAATGTATATTTTATTAGGTTGCTTCAAACAACCCATCCAACTCAGCCCCATCCATCAATCCACCCAACCACCCACACTCCTTCTCTTTAATATTAACACTCAGGACATGTGTCCTATTTATTTCACTAATGAGAGCAACAAAGTTAAATAAAACATAGTAATATTAAAAAAGTAGTATGCAATTTCTATACTAACGATAAAAAAACATGAGTGCAAATCACACATGTTAAAAGTAAAATCTTCATAAAACTAACTTTCGAGAGAATGAGACGAATACAAATTATCTGGTGTAAGATAATTGTATTCTCTTCTTATTTCATCGCCTCCCACTGCTCCGTTACATCGCCGCCTACCGCTCCGTTACATTTTTTCAAATCACACCCATTCTACGTGTTAGTTCCTTTCCCCATTACATCACCGCGTTTCATTTTTTTCAAATCATACCCATTCTAATAGAAGTTTTCACTTCAACAACAGCAACAAAAAAGAAATAATATTAAATGAATTTTATGAAACATTTCAACATAGTTCTTCACGGCTACATTTGCAATCGAAGCAACGTTCAAGTTGGTAGCTATGAGCCCGAAGTATTATTTTCAAGAAGGTTGGAACATATTTGACTTCATCATCGTTGCCCTATCTTTACTCGAGTTAGGTTTGGAAGGTGTACAAGGTCTTTCTGTATTACGATCCTTTCGATTGGTAAATAAATCTTGTTGTTTAATGTTGAATTGAAAAAATAAACTTAATTAAAAATAAATGAAATATATAATTTGTGATTTCATTTGAATAGCTGAGAGTGTTCAAACTGGCAAAATCATGGCCCACGTTAAATCTATTGATATCCATCATGGGTAGGACAGTTGGTGCCTTGGGTAACTTAACGTTCGTCTTGTGTATCATCATATTCATCTTCGCCGTGATGGGTATGCAACTGTTTGGCAAAAATTACACCGATCACGTGGATCGATTCCCAGGTGGGGATTTACCAAGATGGAACTTTACCGATTTCATGCATTCCTTCATGATTGTATTTCGTGTACTTTGCGGAGAATGGATTGAATCAATGTGGGATTGTATGCTCGTTGGAGACGTTTCTTGTATACCTTTCTTCCTCGCAACAGTCGTCATCGGTAATCTTGTTGTAAGTATTTTTATTCATTATTTCATTAACATAATTATAATTAGTGAAAATAGCTTGTTCACTCTTTGGGATACAGTAGGACATTTTCAGTTTCACTTCGAAATATTATTGCAAATAATTACACATGTTCATAAGTTTATATTTCGTCTGATTTACGCAAAGCAATTGGTTATTAACACTATGACGTCCGGTGGCTCCACGTTGGTGCCATGCGAAAACTATCGGGTAAGTGTTGGTGGCTTCATTTTGGTGCCATGCAAAAATTATCGTGTAAGTGCCGGTGGTTCCACGTTGGAGCCATTCGGAAAACGGCGCATAGTGTTAATAGAAGAAATATACCAATTTTGTTTCATTTAAAACGTAATCAAATTTTGATACAACATAGGGTTATTTTATTATCTGAAATTTTGTGTAGATGAACACACTGTCAACTCTTCTGTTCAATTTACTTTTAAGTTCCTAATGTCAATTAATAATAATAATAATAATAATAATAATGTGAATAGTTAGATTCAATATAGGATTGATTGATTTTCATTGTGAATTGAATTTATGTTTGAAAAACAGGTGCTGAATCTCTTCTTGGCCCTGTTACTGAGCAATTTCGGTTCATCGAATTTATCGGCGCCGACTGCTGACAATGACACCAACAAAATAGCAGAAGCAATAGATCGTATAGCACGTTTCGTTAAATGGATCAAGAGAAATTTCCTAACTCTTGCTAAATTGATGCGAGCCAAATTCACCAATCAGATATCCGATCAGGCGCCAGGTGAGGGACCGTCCAACAGTTGGAAAGAAGGTTTATATCCAATCAGATCGCTTGCTGTGTGCGCTGTGTAGTTCGTGGCACTGTTTTTTCGGTTCGGCTTTTTTTTTTTCTTTTATTTTATTTTATTTTTTTTTTTTTTTTAATTATTATTACACTTTTCTTTATTTGTTTATATATAATCGGCTATTATTCAATGTCAGTCAAACGTATGTTCTTTCACCCTCCTCTCCTCATCCATCTCAGGTGTTCATTTTTTGTTTGCTTATTTTTCAATCTTTCAATAACCAAACAATAATTTAAGTGAAATACTTTTTATATTTTTTATTGTTTATCCAATTAAAGAAAAAAAGAAAGATATATAAATGGAACGTTGACTGACACGTTTTTTTTTTTATTGTTAATTACGCAAAAAAAAAAAAAAACAATTAATTAATTTTTCTCATATGTTTTTTGTTTGTCGCTAATTTTGTCCTTCAGTTGATTTATTCAATTTTTCGCGAATTCGATTTAGGATTTGAACAAAGTCATACTCGCGTGACAACATTTAAATGACGTTGGGTGGGATTTCGAAAGATACAAATATACAAATTTTTCGTAAAAAAAAAAAAAAAAAGAAAACATTCAGCAAAGATCAAACAACATTAAGAATTTTTATTAATTTTGCTTCGCTATTTAGCAGCCTGGCAGTTATATGTTGCTTCGCTCGTTAATTTGGGTCCGCGTATTTCGTATGAGAGGTGTTAATCCACCATCTTTAAACATTACGAAAATGATTCTAACAACAGCAGGAAATTTCATATGATTGGGTTGGGTGTGTGTGTGTGTGTGTGTGTGTATGTGTGTGTATGTTAGAGTTTCATTCTAACATGGAGAATGGAATTCAATGTGAATTCGTTTCGATTATCATCGATTCGATGTTATCGAACGCGAGAAGTTAGAAAATTAAGTAGTAGAGGTAGATAATATAGTTGACAATTTATAATTTAAAATACACAAAAGTGTTATCGATACGATTATATACTTTATTTACATATATATGTATATAAATTACGTGTCACGTTGTTTTTTTCGCAACAACTTAACTAAACTTAAGTTACTTAACTACTTAACTAAACTACTGAAGCGATTTTAATCAAATTTTGCACACTGTGTGCAGTTTTATCCAACTTAAAAGATAAGATAGTGTTTAAATCTTAATTTATAATCGCAATATTATTTGTTAAAGTTAATAATAATCTTATCGATATCACTGCAACAAATGACATAGAAGAAGAAGAAGAAGAAGAAGAAGTCTAATTTTTTGTTTAAACAATACAAAAATATCTCGAGATATACAATGTTTCACTCGAACATCGCAAGGAACACGAATGACTCGAGTTGAAGCTTCTTGCATGCTGACTGAACAAAATTTCATTCAACACAAATGAAGATAACATTGATTGAAACACCATTTGTTTCTTTCTCTCTAATGTATCTATTTTTTTTTTTAATTATTAATTATACTTTAAATATCTTCGTCAATAAACAAAGAAACTATACTGTGTACCTATTAACAAAAAACAAAACAAAACAAATAATGAAGAAGAAAGAACAATGTTGTGTAGTTGTTGGTGAAAAAAAAAAGAAAAAAACGACGCACGTTCTAATTGAAATTGCAAAATTGTCTTCCCAAAAAAAAACAAAAAAAACAAAAAGTCCAAAAAGGGCGGGTTAGATTTGTTCTATGACTGTGCAGATGGAATTGATCGAGATGGGGACCTAGATCTTGCAGATAGCGATTTGGAAGCATACAGAGATAAAAAGAGTGCGAAGGAATTGAATCAACTCGAGGTAGCCATTGGTGATGGAATGGAATTTACGATTCATGGTAAGCCCAAGCTTAAATTTTTGAATTAAAAAATTTAAAAAAATCAATGCTGACATTAATAAAATAATTGTTTTGTGGATACTCCATCACTTGTGATTTTCTTTTTCGAAGGAGATCTGAAGAACAAATTGAAAAAGAGCAAATTGTGCATGAACAACACCAAGGTCATTGGAAATTCGATAAATCATCGGGATTATAGATTGGACAATGATTATATTAATCAAAATGAAGAGGACACCTTTAGGTTTGTTCTTAATTTTTTTTTTTTTTATAATAATAATTATTATTATTTAGTTAATTTAACAATTAATCCAACAAAACAAACACACAATGCAACGATTCGTATATTTTTGTTTGATATTTTTTTCTTTTTTTTGTTAACAACAAATTAAATTTATTTTATATTAATTTGATATTGTTTGTATTTTTATTAGCAACAAATCGTATGGCAGTCATAAAAATCGGCCATTCAAGGACGAAAGTCACAAAGGTAGCATGGATTCGTTAAACGGTGAAGAAAAGAAGGATGCCAGTAAAGAAGATCTCGAACAGGACGAATGTAATAAAAATTTAAGAAAAAAAAAGACTCAACCTTTAAATCCTAAATTTAGTCAAAGTTCAAGTATTTATCTTCCTAATAATACTAATGAAAAAAAAAAAAACAAAAAAATCCTAATTTATATTCACAGACTTGGGAGATGAAGGTGACGAGGGTGTCGGTATAATGGAAAGTGAAATCATACAAGCCGACAAGGATCCAATTAATTCCGATTATCCGGCCGATTGTTGTCCAGAAAATTGTTATAAAAAATTCCCATTTTTGGCTGGGGACGATGATGCACCATTTTGGCAAGGTTGGACGAATTTAAGATTGAAAACTTTCCAACTGATTGAGAACAAATATTTCGAGAGTGCGGTTATCACGATGATCCTTTTGAGTAGTTTAGCTCTCGTAAGTATTCGCCTATTTATTTATTTGTTTAATTATTTATTAGGATATATATATATATATATATATATTTATTAACAATTAATTAATTGATAATCATTCACAATTTTTATTCTCAATTAAACTTACTATTATATATGAAATATGATTGAATAATTAATACTATGACGTCCGGTGACACACACATTGGTGTCATACAAAAAATTATACGTTGTGGACGGCATAGTATTAATAATAATTAAATTAATAGAAGAAGAAAAAAAAGGGAAGAAGTAATTATTAAAAAAATAAAAATAAAAAACAAAAAGTACAACAAGTAAGAATTAACGAAATAATTAATTGATGAATAAATTTCAACATTTGTATAATTCTTCAATTAATCAATTTTTTATATTGCTAAGTGTTCTATTGTTTTTTTTTTGTTTCATTGAAATTAGGCTTTGGAGGATGTTCATTTGCAACAACGACCCATCCTTCAAGATATCCTTTATTACATGGACAGAATTTTCACGGTGATTTTCTTCCTTGAGATGTTGATCAAATGGTTGGCCCTTGGTTTCAAGAAATATTTCACGAATGCCTGGTGCTGGCTCGATTTCATTATCGTCATGGTAAGTTAATAAATTATTATTATTATTATTATTATTATTATTATTATTATTATTATCCTATTATTATAAACCTGTATACATGTCTAATTGTATTACCATTTTTTAACTTAGAACACGTGTAATCATTATTAATGTTAAATTATGTTTAAATAATGACAAAATGTTATTCAAATAATTAATAATTAATTTAGTTTTAACGCGATTACACAAGTTCTTTGCAACAAATATTAACCATTATTAAAACAAACATCTCGAACAATTTCTATATCGACTTAATAAAACAAATATCAAACAAATTAGAAACATAAATTGAAATTCAATTGAAATTGTAGTTAAAAACAAAAAAACAAAAAAAAAGATCAAAGAATTAATTTCAAAGAAATCGTTCGAATGGATCTAAAAAAAAAAAAAGATTCAAAATTTTCATTTAAGTGTTATATAAGTAAGTCATTTACTTAATTCGAGCACTTGTATAAAATATATAAATCTTGTTCAATTCAAAACATGATACCCTTTTAAAGGGCCAAAAAATAAACAAACTAAAAATGAGTGCTCGAATCAAGTGGATTTAGTCCTAAGTCTTTTGAAATTGTTTCTTCCCACAAACAAAACAAACCAAACCAAACCAAAACAAAACAAAACAAAACCAAAATTTCATCCATGATGAGAAAATCCGTTTTCATAATCCATTTTATCTATATAACTAACTATCTATCTATCTATCTATCTATTTATCTATTTCTACTTCTATTTCTATATTTCTTTAAGTACCACCCCTTACAAGAATCAACCTAAAAAATTCCCTATCCTAAAGAAAACAAAAAAAAAGAAAAAAAAAGACAAAAATATCACTAGGAGCCGTACGTGGAAGCTTCCAGTGGAGTGATTTCTCTTAATCGATCACACTCTAATGTGTATAAACGTTATTAAGGTATAGCAATTACAAAAAAAACGTACGAGATGCATCATATATATCAATGTTTAATGACAACAGCTATCACTGATCAACTTGGGCGCAATCTGGGCCGGCGCTGCCGACATCCCGGCCTTCCGTTCGATGAGAACACTGAGGGCCTTGAGGCCTTTACGAGCAGTCTCGCGATGGGAGGGCATGAAAGTAAGTCATCGGTCTAAACGAGGACTTCAAAACCAAACAAAAAATAATCATTCAAAGTTTATTTAATTAATATGAAAAAAAAATAAAAAAAAAAATAAAACAATTCGGTCGGTCGGTCGGTTGGTCAGTCGGTCGGTCGGTCTTCTTCTATCAACGATAGGATTTTCATTTCAATCGAAACAATTGTTTTTTGTTTTAATCAAATTTAATAAACAAAACAAAATAATTGACGCGGATTAATGTGATATGAATCAATGCATCATTTATTAATTATTTTCAGATGAAATATTTCATAGAAAGATTATTAAGATGAGATGTAATATGATTGAATTAATTCACAATGCGTGTAATATGTTTTATTTTTTATTATTTTATATATAGAATTGCAAATTGATCTCTGTCGTTGTGTTGTATAAAAAAAAAAGCACATTTCAAACGTCAAATATTTATTTTATTTACCAATTTTTTCTCTTTGTATTTTTTATTTAGCCTAAAGATCAAAGTACAGTAACGCGAAAGAACAAAATTTATTGTATAAAAACGTAAGAAAAAAGGGTAACACAAAAAAAAAAAAAGAAAAAATACGAAAACAAACCCTGACGACGAGTCAAATGAACCAAAAAAAATCTGACTGAACGAATAATAAATTGAAAAAAAAAAAAGAAAAAAAGAAATAATAAATAATAAAATATTTTGAAAAAAAGGACAACAATATCTAAAATACGATCTAAAGATATTAATAAAAAAAAATAAAAATAATAATTTATAGCTCGTACTGTGGTGTGCTTTTAAATCAAAATGTGCAAAAGAGATACAAAATAAATACACTGGCGTCTCTACTTGGTGTCCGCACTGATTATTATATATTATAATTAACAAAAAAAAAAAAATTATTTGTCGTACTATAAGCCTTTACTAACGCCTATGTACGCCTTTTGTTTATCTAATTCAAACAACAAAAATATCTTTTAATAATAACAGCAATATCGTTGTGCAAACATAAAACAAATTAACTATTAATATTATATATATTTACGTTTTATATTTGTTTGAACTCTTATCAAACGAACTTCAACTTTTTTTTTTTTATATAAATCCCATCGTGCAATATTATGTATATATATATACATAATTAATATTATTATAATTTATCTAGATGCTTTATGTGTAAGTGTACGAAGCCACCAGACGCCCAACGATGTGTGCGTGCCAGCCCTTTTTTTTCCTTACTATTATTATTATTATTATTATTATTATTATTATTATTATTTTATTTTATTTTTGCGTATGAAAACGAAGAGTGTGAAAAGATAATTATACTTTTTTATTTTTATCTATTTATCTATTTATCTATCTATCTTTTTCTATTGAGACGCACGGACGCTTATCGATGTTGTTGTTTTCATTTCTCTCTCTCTTTCTCTCTCTCTCAATCTATCTATCTATCTATCTATCTATCTAACTCTTTCTTTCTTTCTTTCTCTTTTCCTACCTTGTTAAAAAAAAAAAATTCAAAAAAAAAAGGAAAAGAATTTAACATAACTTTGAGATACCAATCCGCCCCACCCCCCTCGTTGTTATATTTTACTTATCAAAGCTTGAACAATTAAATTTGCTAGGCAAAACATCGTTCGTTGTTTATGTATTAATTATTTATGTGAATAACCCTTTATTGCCGTGCGTCTCTTTGTCAAATATTACGAGCCCTTTTTTTCTAAACAGGTTTGTTTCAGGATCGTCGATGATATCATCGCTCATGTGTCTTCGTCGTTAAAAATCGTCATCGTCGTCTACGTCTATGTTTTGCTCCTGTATATTCTCATATATATATATTTATATATATATATTAATTATTCCTTGCTATCTATCTATCTAACTATCTATCTATCTATATCTCTCTCTCTTTATCTATCTATCTATCTATCTATGTTTATATATATACAATGAATCACTGAATTATTTTTACAACTCACATGCAACTTGTGAATGTTGGAATGTTGTGTGCAACATGTAGCACATGTAATTTAACAAAATTGATTATTAAATTTTAATTAATAATATGTTTTTAAATTATTTTAAATTATACACACACACACACACACACACACACACATAGTATATATAATAAAATGAAATTATATATCTAAACTGAGATTACTATTAATATACAGTAGTAATAATTATATTAATTAATTATTAATATATAGTTAATATAATTTTAATAAAAAAATTTTATTCATTTATTAATTGGATAATTAACTATTACTATTATTATTAATTAAAAATTATTATTAATATAGTAATAATTATATAACTATTATTATTATTATTATTAATTGATATTAGAAACAGTCAAGTTAATTGCTACAAATATCAAATCACAGTAACATATTTCATTTTGAATATATTAAAAAAAAACACACACACAAAATAATTGTCAAAGTACTCCAAAAATCCAAACTTAATAAATATACAGTAGAGATATATATGTGAGGTGTATAATAATACAGGTGATTCATTGTATATACATATATATATACATATATATATATCCTCCTAATTATTATGATTACAATTATTGTTGAACCGCTACGTGTGTGTTTGCCAATAACTGGGCTCTGTCCAGCCGCCTATTATTCCTTCTTTTACTTATTTGTCGTATATTATACACTGTGTGCGTATATATATATATATTATACATATAATTATTATTATTATTATTATTATTGTTAATCCATATATTTATATAATTATATTTTTATATAAATATATGGAGAAAAAAGTGAGCTACCCAACAGATATTTTCTCTCATCAGGATCCCGTTGTGTATCTGCTTGCAAACTACTGTCTCAAGGAACGTCCATTGCAGATTTGCGACAATTTTTTGGCAGCCCTGGAACTCTCCGCGTCCGTCGTCACTTCCGTCAAGCCTTTTATCTCACTCACTCACATACACACACACACTCTCTCTCTCTCTCTCTCTCTCTCTTCCTCTTTTTCTGTTTCTTTTTAACCATTCCATCTCTAACACCCTATGAATATCAACCCTTTCTTCTCTTTCTCTCTCTCTCTCTCTATATATATATATATATATATACATATATAAATATATTTGTACATATATACAGGATGTACCATTTAAATTGATATTGATTGAAAAATCATTAGAATTTAATGTCAATTTCTAAACAAACAATTTAATTAAACATTATAGTATTTAATATTTGATTAACTCGTTCCGTGCCACATGTACCACCGGTGGTACACCGTTGAATTTGACTAACAGACCACGTGTACCACCGGTGGGATACACTTATTAGACAAATTTATTGAATGCACTGAAAATCTAATGAATCTGAAGGTTCTGAACCTCAAGTCAAGCAAAAAAGGGCTTAGCATGGAACGTGTTAACAAAGAATTGAAATAATAAACAATTATATCAATTTTAAATGGTTCAATTTGTATATCTTTTATTTTTCTGTATCTATCAATCAATCTATCTATCTCTGTTTAAATCCTATGATCTATTTTTGTTCCTATCCTAATTGACAAAATAATTAACCAAATTAATGAACCAATTCCTAAATAAATATTATTATTATTATTATTATTATTGATAGGAATTAATATATATATAATTAGCTTCCTCGAAAAAAAAAAATGGATTCTTCTCTACCAATAGAACCAAAATTTCCAAAATAATTTAAAAAAAAAAAACACACACACAATTTTCCATTCCCGTAGTCTGTGAAAAAAAAAAGAAAAAACATCTTGCTGTGATTCGCTCTCGTTTCTCGCTCGCAGGTGTCGCTCATTAACTTCGTAGCGTCGCTCTGTGGCGCTGGCGGGATCCAAGCCTTCAAAACAATGAGGACCCTAAGGGCCCTAAGGCCACTCAGGGCGATGTCTAGAATGCAGGGGATGCGGGTATGTAGCCCTACGTCTCAGCGGACCTTGTCACTTGCTCTTTGACATTTCTTATTCCAAACAAATTTTCTAATTATACTTCATCAAATATTTCAATTATCGTCGTCCAAATTTTCTATATATATATATATATATATATATATATACAAAATATACATATACATCTTTAATATATATAAAAATTACGTGTCACGTTGTTTGTCCGCAATGGACTCCTAAACTACTGAACCAATTTTAATCAAATTTTGCACACTCTGTGCAATTTCATCCAACTTAAAAGATAGAATAATTTATTATAGTTATATATATATATATTATATATGTATATTTAATTTATATTCCATACTATTTTTAATCATACCCATGACAATTTTAATTTGATGTATTTAATTAGTAAATTTCGATTATTCCGTGTGTTCTATTTTTTATAAACAAATTTCAATTTTTTACAACAACAACAACAATAACAACAACAAAAAATAGAAACAAATTAGAAATGAAAAAAAATACTTTCTGTTTCTCTTCTATCTTTCTATCTATCTATCTCTTTCTTTCTTTCTTTCTTTCTTTCTTTCTTTCTTTCTGTCTATCTTTCTTCTCTCTTTCTCTCTTATTGAAATGGATGAAAGAAAAAGATAAAAAACAAAAAAAATCAAACTTAGAGTCCCTTTTCTCCCTCACTTGAATTCGATTCATCTTCGTAAAAATTGTCACCTTCAACAACAATTTTCCAGCCCCCCCTTTTTTCATTCCAATCAAAAAATACACCTGGAAACACCCTTCTTTCACCTTTCACTTTTTCAAAACAACCCCCCACCCCTCTCACTAATACCACGTTTATCTTATTCTCATGCACGTGATGAATTATGCATTTTATTCGAACGATTTTGATCGTCGCGAATGCACACAAAAGCTTGTTGGCGAAACATAGTAGTAGAAAATCAAACAAACATTTTTTTTTTTTTTTAATTATTATTAGTTAGATATTAGATGAGTTTTGCATTCATTATTTAAAAAAAAAATTATTAAAACACGCAGTAGTAAAACAATTACAAAAACAATTACAAATATACAACAATTACAATATTACAACTACAGCTACAGCAGCAGCAACAGCAACAGCAGCAGCATATATAAACCACGATCTTGATTTATAAACAAAATATAAATGAAAAATTCAATATTTATTATAATTATAATTATAATAATTGTTAGTCAGTAACAACAAAAATATGATAGAAATTTTTTTATTATATTTCTTATTTGTCTATCTATTATTTTTATTTTTATTTTATCTTGTCCCACATTTTTGCAAAATTAATTATGATAATTATGATGATGATAAAAGTATCAAATTAAAAGTTTGTTCATTAATTTTTATTTTTTATTTTTTTTTTATTTTTTAGGGCAACCATATCAATTCACTTTTTATTCCAATTTATGATAGAATACTTTTCTATATTTTTTTGTTTAAATAAATAATTAATTATCCATGATAAAATTAAACGTAATACAAGCTGATAGTAAATAATATGATATAGAATTATAATAATCAAAAATGAGAGGACCAATTCCTCATTTGAATCTTTCAACTAACTATCTTTATCTATCACTATCTTTCTTCCCATCTATCTATCTATCTATCTATCTATCTATCTCTTTCTATCTTTCTCTTTCTATCTTTCTCTTTCTCTATTTATTGAATTGACAACTAAATAATTGCAGATGTCATCAATAATTTTCCTTTGAAAAATTTGCAATTACTTTAGATTGTCAATCCAATATTATTTCTATCTCTTCCTATTTATCTATATTATTATTTAATAATCCCTTTAAAAAAAAAAAAAATAAATTAAAAGCAAGATCGTATTAAACTTGACATAATATAAATACATCGTTTTCAAAAATATAATACATCGTTTCTCAACATATAAAACTGCAACACAAGGTCGCTGAGGCACTGGGCGTAGAGTTATTGGTCATGCCCACGCCCTGACACCATTTATCTAATTTTTATATAGTAGCTCGCTCTGCAACTATCTATTTCTATTTCATTTATTTTTCTTCTTATTATCTGCTATATTTCTTCTTCAAATATTAATCAATCGATTTATATTTCGATTTCATAAACAAACCACCACCCACCCACTAACCTTCCACTGTGTCTTCCTTCCACTCTTAAATTTTTTTTCTTTTGTTGTTTTTTTTTTTTTTATCAAATTACCTTGCTTAACTCTTACAATCTATTTATCTAATTATCTTATCTTATCTTATCTTTCCTTATTTATTTTATTTTATTTTATTTCTTATTATCAACACAAAGTGCATATATTTATATATTTATTCACATGCCTGCAAATCCTCTTTCTATTTCATTTTTATTTCCATTTCATTCTAATCTCAATTTGCACACAATTATTTATGTTATTTTAATGTAAAATAAATATTACGCTAATTTATTTCTTATTTATGTTGTCACAAATTATTGTTAATTATTATTTTACTTTAATAATAATAATAATGTTGAACTATATTGCATTATATTTCGTTTTCTTGTAAATATACAATTGTTTGTCCGCGATTAACATCGAAACTACATTACCAATGTAAATAAAAATTGATTTATTTTATTTCTTTTTCTCTAACTTAAAAGATAGAAAACAATTCTATCATGTTTCTTTATTTATTTTTTGTCAAAGTGCATATTTATTCACATGTTTGGAAATCCTCTTTCTATCAATTCTCTTTCAATTTCATTCAAAGCTCACCATTGTCAATTCTATCTTTTTTTTTTTTTTTATTTTGTCCACTTATTTGGCTTACTATGTCCCCTCCTCCCCCCCTCTCTCTTTTTGTATTTATTTATTTAATTCATTAGCTCATTCTCTTATTGATTAGTTTCTAATCCCACTCAGACCACAAATGTGATTATGCTTTCTCGCTGACACTGAGCTTTTTCTTTTCCTCTCTCACTTCCTCTCTCTCTCTCTCTCTCACTCTCTCTCTCTCTCTCACACACACGTTCTCTCTGTTGCTCTCTCTTTCTATTCACTTTGCTTAGCTTAAAAAAAAAAAAAATGCTTTCAGCATGACGCACACAAGCGCTTCTTGCTATTTCGTGCTACTAACCTTCCACGCACGATTTTTTCTACGTGCTTGTAAATTTCTACATTTACAATAACAACAATAATAACAACAACAACAACAGCAACAACAATAACAACAAAATATTGCTTTATCTTCGTAGCTCGTATATTATTTCACATAGTGCTATTCTTCTTCTTCTTCTTATTATTATTATTGTTTATTATTTATTATTATTATTTTTTAACGATATTACTTGTACACAAATACGAAACACTTAACAGTTGTAATCAATATAGTAGAAGTAGTATAGTAATTTATATTCGCTAAAGATACATAATATTACACATATACATAGATATATGTATATATGTAGATGTATCCAATGCATCTTACATCAAAAATTATTTACGACGATCGGCCTGTCATTTAAATTACATTTTAATTAATATCAATTATTATTCGTCTAATGATTTTACTTTAAATTAAATATTATAGCAAATATTGTTGCAATGATTCTAAGATATTTTATCTAAATATTTTCATCTTTATTCTATTGTGCAATTAATCAAAATAAAATACAAAATTAAATAAATTAAATAAAATCTTGAACGATTGTATTATAAAACATTTTTTTAAATATTTTATTTGTAATATCTAACATCTTTCAAAATAAAATAATTAATAAAAAAAAAATATTGGCTGGTTATATTAAAAAAAAAAAAAAAAAATGCATAAGGCCGATCGCGTATACTTGAAAACTTTGAGAAAAAATGCCTAACTTTTTCTATTTTTACATATATATATATAAATATATCTATCTATTNTTATTTGTAATATCTAACATCTTTCAAAATAAAAAAATAAATAAATAAAAAATAAAACAACACTAACAAAAAAAAAAAATATAACATTGCATAAGGCCGATCGCGTATACTTGAAAACTTTGAGAAAAAATGCCTAACTTTTTCTATTTTTACATATATATATATAAATATATCTATCTATTTCTATTATCTTGTTTTATTTCATTTTTTTTTTTATTTTTCATCTTTTATCTTTTATCTATCTTTCTGTCTGTCGCACAAAATCGCGTAGGCGCATATAGGCGCATATATATACACATTTATATATATATATATTAGTATACATTACATATAGGAATATTAGAGACGCATATAGAGACGCATATATAGATATATATATAGTTGGCGCATCATAGAATAGCGCATAAAATAGAAGCGCATATACATTATATATTTCTAGATTCGAAGATTACATGATCAATTGTTTAACATCATAATTTTCAATAATTAATCCTTATTCTCACAGGTAGTCGTCAACGCTTTGGTACAAGCTATTCCATCCATCTTTAACGTCTTGCTGGTCTGCCTTATTTTTTGGCTGATATTCGCCATCATGGGCGTGCAGCTGTTCGCCGGCAAGTATTTCAAGGTAAATATTTCACATTTTTATTATATAATTCATTATAATAATCTCATTCATTTATTCTTTTTCATTCAGATATTTATATTTTGTTAAAAAGAAAACTTGTATGCATATCACACAAGTTAGACGATAATTTATTATTATAATATTATTTCTACTTTTAATTTGTAATTATTTATTTAATTATTAATGTAATTATAAAAATGCCCGGGGCCTGTATGAATGCAACCCTCCAGACACATTTTGAAAATGTTGCTTTGGAGCGTCATCTGTTGGGACGGAATTTTTTGTCTGCCCGAAAGATAGGCAACCCTTCATACACACGTGTATAAACAGTTTTGACTGGAAAAAAATTTCGTCCCAGAAGATGTCGCTCGCAAGCAACATTTTCAAAGTGTGTCTGGAGGGTTGCATTCATACAGGCCTCCTAGCATTTTTATAATAATTACAAAGAAAGTAAATAATTAACAAATCAAATATTTTTATAAATAATGTGAAAAATAGAACTCTAATATTGTCATTAATTTATGCAGATTTTAGAATAATATTCAATATTTTATATGAAATAAAAATAAATAATCATGTGTTCAGATCACACGTGTTAAAAGTTAAACCTTGAGATGAATGCAGAGTATCAAGAGTATAAGATAATTGTAGGATTTTACACATCCCGGTTTCGTTTTCCCCCTACATCAATGCATTTCACTTTTTCAAATCACATCCATTCTAAATAAGTTTTTACTTGAAAAATAATGTTTACAGTGCGTCGATGCGAATAAGACTACGCTTAGTTATGAAATCATACCTGATCGAAACGCATGTGTAGCGGAAAATTACACATGGGAAAATTCACCGATGAATTTCGATCACGTTGGTAAAGCATACCTGTGCCTCTTCCAAGTGGCTACCTTCAAAGGATGGATACAAATCATGAACGACGCTATCGATTCGCGAGAGGTAAATCAAAATCAATCAGTTGCATCAATTTGATCAGTGTGTGTGTGTGTGTGTGAATCTCGTTGGATTCATTTTATAATAAATTTGTTTATTATTATTTTGTAGGTCGACAAACAACCAATACGCGAAACTAACATCTACATGTATCTCTATTTCGTATTTTTCATCATATTCGGATCATTTTTTACCCTTAACCTGTTCATTGGTGTGATCATCGACAACTTTAACGAGCAAAAGAAGAAAGCCGGTGGATCACTCGAAATGTTCATGACGGAGGATCAAAAGAAATATTACAATGCCATGAAAAAAATGGGTAGCAAGAAACCATTGAAGGCCATTCCTCGTCCAATCGTAAGTCATTTCATTATCATCCTTATTAACACTATGACGTCCAGTGGCTCCACGTTGATGCCATGCAAAAATTATCGGAGATCATAGTGTTAACAAATCGATATAACAATTTTGTGATTCGATATATAATTAATATAATTGTTTATGATTGATTTACAGTGGAGACCGCAAGCTATAGTGTTCGAAATAGTGACGGACAAAATGTTCGATATGATAATCATGTTGTTCATCGGGCTTAACATGCTTACGATGACATTGGACCATTATCAAATGAGCGACACATTCAGCAACGTTCTGGACTATCTCAATATGATATTCATTGTGATATTCACCAGCGAGTGTCTCCTGAAAGTTTTCGCCCTACGTTACCATTATTTCAAGGAGCCCTGGAACCTCTTTGATTTAACTGTTGTTATATTATCAATATTAGGTAACGTAACATAATGATTAACTCAGTCGTATGACTCTGATGAAACGATGTCAATTAATTAAGACGAAACTAAGAATCCTGTTGGTTGTTTCAAATTTTTTTCGAACAACTTGTTCATAATCAAACGAATGCTTTATATTTCAGTAGTAGTAGTCAATAATATAGCAAGCATCATATCATAGGCATGTAACAAACAACTGAACATTTCACCACAATTATATATCTATCTATCTATCTATCTATCTATCTATCTATCTATCTTTTTCACGTGCACGTATAAAAATTGTTTTTAACAAACAAATAATATTTAAATTTATAGATTTAAAAAGAACCAACAGATTCGTACGTTTCATTTGCGTCGCAACGACTGATCGATATCATTAAGTTACGTCGCCTCACATTGACGTTACTTTGATGTTATCCTATTTCATAATATCCTTCTGTGACAACCTTTTATATACCTTGATCCTTCCAAAAAAAAAACAATAAGTATACAATAATCGTTGCTAATGCACCAAACTTCTTTATCTCCTGACGATTATACAAAAAGAGATTAAAACAAAAAAATGACTGACACGTGAATCACCACGTGGTTTATTTATTTATTTATTTATTTACAAAAAAATTATATAAGATAATAATTAGTTAAGTTAATATTTCTAATATTTAAAAATCAAATTTTTATTAATCAATATAAATTTTATATACCAATTTATTAATCGTCAGGAGACAAAAGCAAGCAAGGTGTGTGCTACCCAAAACAAAATTACATTTTTTTGTATATTCGACTAATCTTAATCGATGTTACCGGTAAGATGGGGTCTGTATCAAAAAATAGATATCGTAGATACTTTTTTCTAAATCAATTTTCTTAGATCTAGTTTCGAGATCGTGTCTTTACTTTTTTTGTTCTGTTCTGATACTTCTTCTCATTTTTTTCTTTTCGATTTTTGGAATGTCACGATATTTTTTAAAATATACACACTATTTTTTTATTGGGTGATAGATCATAGACTTTTTTTTTCACTGCACAGTAGATCTCAGATAATTAGATAAAAAAAAAGAAAACCAAACTAATATTAGTTTACTTCGATAAAATATTATCAACAAATTTGATTGCACGATTCTTCAATTTAAATACGTGCTCGAATATAGCATGATTCTTTTTTTAATCTATTCACTGATATGTTTTCTATTTTCTGGACAATGTGAATTAGTCAGATGCACCTTATCTGCTTTTATAAATAATAATAAAAAAAAAACAAATCAGAAGCATCGATCATTTCATATATGATAGATAAAAAAGAAAGCCAAACATTCTCGTCAAAATATTTTTTAAACAATTTCGAATACACAACACTTTTATAAATAGATCATATTTTTGATAAAACACGACAGCTACGTAGAGAGATTTTTTTTTTTTCTCTAAAGCATGGCATACTGAACATTTTTTTTTTTTCTAATTACCATAGATCACGAAAGTGCACGAAAAAATTAACAAAATTAATTAGAAATTATTTCAATAAATTCGTGATAATAATACCTTTTAACCTATGACCACAATCTTCCAAATAATTTATTTTAATATCTTTTTTTCAATTACCAATCAATCTCCAATTATTTCCTATATCCAAAATCACCATAGAAATATAAAACAAAGAAATTGTTCTAACATATTGTTTGTCTTTTTTTCTTAAATATAGGTCTGGTGCTCAGCGATATAATCGAGAAATATTTCGTATCCCCGACCTTACTTCGAGTAGTGAGAGTGGCTAAGGTCGGTCGTGTGCTACGTCTTGTGAAGGGTGCAAAGGGCATTCGTACTTTATTATTCGCTCTTGCGATGTCCTTACCTGCTCTATTCAACATTTGCCTACTGCTGTTCCTCGTAATGTTCATCTTCGCTATCTTTGGAATGTCCTTTTTCATGCACGTTAAGGACAAGAGTGGTCTCGACGATGTATATAACTTTAAAACTTTTGGACAGTCGATGATACTGCTGTTCCAGGTTGGTAAATCAACTTATACAAAATTTATAAGAAAAATACAGTCAATTCTAGTAGTAACAACACATTAAATATATAATTGAAATACAATGAAATAATGAAACCACAGATGTCAACGTCCGCCGGTTGGGACGGCGTATTGGACGGCATAATAAATGAAGAGGATTGTCAAGAACCGAACAACGAAATCGGTTATCCTGGCAATTGCGGTTCATCGACGATCGGTATAGCCTATCTGCTGTCATACTTGGTGATCAGTTTCTTGATCGTGATAAACATGTACATCGCTGTTATCTTGGAAAATTATTCTCAAGCAACTGAAGACGTGCAAGAAGGTTTGACTGACGATGATTACGATATGTATTACGAGATTTGGCAACAATTCGATCCGAAGGGTACACAATATATAAGATATGATCAGTTATCGGACTTCTTAGACGTATTGGAGCCCCCATTGCAAATACACAAGCCGAATAAGTATAAGATCGTGTCGATGGATATCC